GAGGTGGAACGTCGTCGGTAATGGCCTGTGGAGAGTTTGGATACTGTTCTTGAGCTTTGGGAGCTGTGTTGTGTCTAGGTTCCTCAAGCTTTACTGGGGGTAGAGGTTTGGTCGTGAAGCTTGCAGCTACAGGCWCATATGCACGGAGGAACCGACGGTTTCTTAGGGTTAGGCGACCTTATCTATATAATGTGACCGTATACTGATCGTGACTCAATGGGTGTGGGATCCCCCACCGGTGGAGGAATGTCTCTGTGAAGCTTACGGTTYACCTCCATCACTTTAAATATCTTCGGGTATGTGCAGGTTGCAAAGAATGATCGGAGGTGGCGAATTAGTCCATTCGCACCCTTAACGTTTGTACTCGACGGCGATCCGAATATTTCGACCCATCCTGACAGATGGCCTACCATAAGATAATAGGGAACTTCAGATTTGACAAAGAGTACGAGATTGGGTACGAGTATACTAACGAGTACTAAGATCGGCCTCAAGTGTGCATTGCATGAATACTCCAATTTCGAGTTCTGGTTTGCTCTGTGTTAGCCTCAAAACCAAGTAACATATTCTTTTGTTTCATTGATAGGCCGAGGAAATGAATGGAATTTGAACAGAAACACAATAGAATTGATTTGAAATCTCACACTTTTATTCTCACAATTAGGAATATTTTGCGCACAAATGAGGCTAACACAGAGCATTGGAGAATTCGAAAGTGGATTATTGCATTCCTGTGAAAAGATTGAAACACCAAAGAAATAAATACACACAACTTAAATTGAAATTTAGAATGGGCAACACAATTAAAGCTGGTTTGAAAACTCGTATTGGTACTCAATCGCGTACTCGTTGTCAAATCTGAAGTTCCCTAATGCTGACCTGCTTGTGTGAAGAAATCTGAAARCACTACTAAAATGGCGTCGAGGGAGGCGGGAACGATGTTGGAGGGGTTAGGGTTAGGCTTCTTAAGGTTAGGGTTAGGGTTGTCATTCTCAACATTTGAGACTGGGCGCCCACGAGATATTTCCGAGCTCCTGTGCCTCCCTACAAATTTCGTCCATTAACATCGTCTCTTGTTTGTCGGCTAGGCTGTCTGCGTCCGATGGCGGCGGGTGTCAAAATTACAGTGGSGTCATCTGCGTAGTTGAGTTTACCCGGTAAGTGAATGATGTYGAACCAACATGGGAGTGTTCGCTGCTTCAACCTGAAGAGGCGGGAGTTAGTGATCTCTAAGAGTGTTCGGTGTCGAAGGATCTTGGTTAGAGGCTTGTGGTCAGTAACTACAACATATAACCGTACGTTCTGAAATGCATACCCTAGTGATTTATGTTCCTCACGATGTACAAAAATTAAAAATATTTGATTAGAATACTGCATACTTATTTAAAGTATTCCGTTTCAAGAATATTTTAGGGTATCTGTGCGTGAAGTTCTGAAATGAATACTCTAGTGATTTCTGTTCCTCATGATGAACAACCAAAGTATTCAAYTAGAATACTACAGTAAAGTATGTTGGCTTGAATACTCTAGGGTAGCCATACTCGAAGTTGTCTGGTATGAATACTCTAGGGTAACTTATACGTGAAGTATTCTGATATGCATACTCCAGAAAATTAAAAATTAAACGAGACTTACMTGTAAGTTGAAGTTTGATGATAGACACCTTAAGATACCCCGATTTTCATGCACGGGTACGGGTAGCGCCATTTTGAATTCATTAAATNAAAAAGAGGACAAAGGTCAGACAGACGATTAGGATATGTTAGTCTCCTAAGAAGAAGCAACATAGACTCCATGCCACTAGCCAATGTTCCGTTTTCACATCTATATGTGTCAGGAATGTCAAGGAGCTCATGAAGATATCGTAAATCGTTCTTGCTGAACCTGTTTGAAACGCAAACACCACGCTAGAACAAAGAAATTCAACAAAGATAGGAAACAAAAAAATTACAGTAGCACAAAATTTTAGAGAAATGTTTTTATTTCTACCATCGCACCTAAACAAATCTATACATTCCTTTTCTTCCAAAGTGTCCAGATTAATTCTGAATGAGCTTTGGAATGGCCGTGGCAATCTTTCAATTGCATCTAACAAGAGCATTTCCACATCCGAATCATCATCGCTGTCTGCACCAGATACCAAAATCAAGTCATCGATTGTYTTCCTTCAAAATGGAAATAAAAAAGGTTTTTATTATGGCACATTATTAGAGAACTTTATAAAATGTCAAATGTTTCAAAAGAACTCTGAAATACGTCAGCTTAATGGCAAAAATTTAATGCAAATCAATACAAACCTTACTTGCTGAGCAGCCATCTTTGTTTTTGTTTTTTTCCGGTCGCCCCAGACTACTACACGGTCAACTGCTGTACAGGGAATCCGGTGTAGCTTAAGATATTTTTTTACCCGTTTCGTCGGGTACGGCTACCGGTAATTCTACCCGTACCCGTATAAGGAACCGGTGTATCTTAACCTCTCTGATAATTCTACCAAATCCGCAGTGATACTGAGGGTTAACATGAGATTACACACGTGCCGCCGTTACTAGTCAGATTTTAAAACCGTAAGTTTAGTATATATAGTAAGAGGTATAGCCTGTGTACATCCGTTTCTCACCCCTCCAAAAAAATCGGGAAGAGAACGTCTGTGATTTGCCGTTGCTAATCGTGTTCTGACATAAATTTGCATATACAATGTGACAT